TACAGCTTCTTCGGAAATTGAATATGTTGTCCTAAAAGTGTCTTTCGTTTCATAAGGTGATAATAGATGAACAACAATTTTTGTTTTACATTATTTTATTGAATTATGTATGATCCATTTCGTTCTATTTCTATTATTATGTTCGTGCATGATTCCATAAACTAATATAAAACAAAAAATATTGTGCGTCTATTATTTCCTTATAAAACGAAAGAAATTTTCCGGACAACCTAATATACATATAAACCCGCGTAGAATTTAATTAATTAATAAAACACATTAAGGAATAGAAAACATTGCAAAACCTGAAACCATAATACAATTTCCGCAATGTACAGTTTTTCTTTTTTTTAATCTGTATGCAGATACCATTTTGCGCCATTAAAAATGCTAATTAAAATAATCAATGCATACGCGTAATAAACGAAATTAACGCATAGCTAGAAAATAATATACATATAAATATTTCGACAACTTATTAAACGTTAAAAACTGTGCATTTCTCATTCTCGCATTTCCTACATATTTTTACGATCTTCTTCCGTTTGTAATACTTCGTTAACTTATCAAGCTCTTAAGAACAAGTATTCTAAAATATCTGCAATTATACCAAACCAAACTAAAACCACTCCACCATATCAAATTACCCCATAAATAAACAACCCGCAAGCTTATGTTTATTAATACCTTTCCATCTATTTTACGAGACTAATGAAACCATTTATTTGCATCCATTGTTCTCAAAAGCTCTTAATATACCGCATCATCAATAATTCTCTAATTCGATGCAAAATTTTCGGCACGAGGCACTAAATACCGGTTATTTAAGCTCAGGCGAATCACGCGTTGTAAATCGACGCTGAATGTTCACGTGAAACGGAAAAACATTGGGCAAAAAGAAGAATAAAAACGTATAATGCAAACGACGTTGGTTTCGGCGGAGGCGGCGCAAAGAACACAAACGAAGAGAAATTTTCGTAAGGTTTGAGAAGCTGTCCGAAACAGAAGCAAGTCGCGGGGAACACACGTATCCGAGGAGAAAAATATGTATTTGTGCGTTCAGCAAAACATGCGCGCAAATATGGCGGGAGCAGCGTTTCGCATAAACTGGTTGAACGAGCATAAACTTTACGCGAGTTGCGTAATTTCAAAATTTTACGAACGATGAAAGTCAATAATAACGAGTGATATACGTACGAATTCTATCGCAATGATTTGAGGAAGTCAATTATTATGGAAATTTTCAGTGCTGGAAAATGAACGCCGATGTACGTGGAAATTCAAACTGAATGCAACTAAAGAAACCAATCGTAGACAGAGACTTATTACTTTTCCTAAATACCAGACGTTGTTGTTGAATACTATGTTCCCTCTTCTTATGTCAAATTATCATATTAGATTCATGTTATGCTCATGAAGTCTGTAAGTACATTTTTACATATATATACGTATAAATGTTTTCACAGATAAAATAGAGACACATAATGCACATTTTGATTATAGAGAACCTCGTGTTTTTTTATTTAAATCTTAACCTTTGCAATGACTTGCAATGGCATGGATGAATCTAGATCGGTTCGACTCATAGACGAAGAATTTTTCAGCTAAATATTAATCGATTGGCCTTTTATTTAATTTCAGCATTCGAGTCGAAACGTTCGTTTTTCTTTTAACAAAATACGCGTTTAAGGCAGTGAATTATCTATCAACGATTTGACGATTGTATCGACGTATCTGAAAAAATGTAGAGAAGTTAAAATAAAACTCTATGTCTTACTGTTTCTTTCGTAGTATTTCAAATTAACGCATATCATGCTACTGGATATCTAATGGTGAAAATAATTCGTTAATTTTTAGATATTACGTAAAAGATGAATTAACGTATTGATGCCTTTAACATTCTAACGAGTTATATTTAAAGATACAATTCTATTTATGTGATCTTATTGTGAGGCAAACAGTTGATACAACTGGAATTCGTATCGATATAAAGACCATGTTTAGATAAGTAGGAGTTCATTTAATCAGAGACAGACTAAAATTTACTTTGCACAAATCCGAGATAAATGGAGTTCTATTGTATATGTATATCAGTAGCGTTGAATTTTTCGTCTTACACGCATGATTTTAGCACTTAATATATGGTATCTTTCTTGTTCTACGGTCGATTGAAGATATGGTATGGTAAAAGACACGTAGGGATCGTTTGAAAAACCGCAAGCTTTCTATTTCGCTGCTTTAAGAGCCTCAAATATTAAAATTTGATTAAATATTGATATTTTATTAGACGGAAACAGATTCAATTTTGATGACTTCTAATTAATATATTACTGTTTCAGTAACATTAATTAATGATTCCATTACTCTAACATCGATATTGTCAATATTCGCAGTAGCATCGATATTAACAAATTACTCTAGTGTCGATATCATCGATAATCTTAATATTGTTTACTAGAAAATATTAGTTGAAAACATTCTCTGTTACGTACAGTGGCTATAAAATGTATTGTTTTATACACTTTCATACACTTCATTGTGGTATTTACGTACTAATTAATTAGATTCAAACAATGTTAAATTTCGTATCGTTTAGCAGTACTTCCATACAACCACAAAATTGTATACTATGGAAACGATAAAACCTGATAAAAAAAAAGGTACGCGTCAATATTTTTGTAGCCACTGTATATTAGAGTAGCTTAAAGTACCCGAAAAATAACATTTTGCTGGTTTGCCTAAATAATAAAGTATATCCTCCTTATATTACAATTTAAAAACACGATTAACAAATCAATAGAATTACAAAGGCGACGTAAACAGTGAACAAATCAAAGTAAAATTACACATACGATAGATCACGAAAAGGGGATGCTCGTGGAGCGCGTCTACCGGAAGCACAGTTCCCTAGCAGCATAAACACAAGAGCACAGACATCAGACAACCAATCACAGCAGACCCGTGAGTCCGACTGATCACGAACAATGAACAAAGTGTCGACGGTCTAGGCCGATGGATTCCGTAAATATCCGAATTTTCACGACAAGTTTACGCAACTACGATACACGTACTATCGTAGCAGACGATAGTAGGGCCAGTATTCTGGGAAGCGTAGTATGAGGAGCAGTTCTCGGAAAGGTACAAATTAAGGGAAAGAAAGATAGACAAAGGAAAACATTGGTGAATCAGAATAATCCCATAAATATTTTGATCGACAAGAGGCACAGGCAATCAACGTGGTATGTAGCTTCATTAGCCAAAATATTCTTCTCGCGCATTCTTTTATTTAATTTCCTTATTATTTATTAACTCGCTATGTAATTGCATTATAATTTAGAAATTAGTAAATGCACACACAGTCGCAAAATTATTTGAATTGTTATCGTAGGAAACTTTTACGGATATAGGAAAATACTTTTGAAATTTCATTGGCACTATGATAAAAACGACGATTGTGATTATATTGGTAAAATTTGGTAGCAACTTGGAAATGTATAATTACTAAAACATTTACAGAAAAATAAAAATATCGGCAACTCTTGCTTCTTCAAATAAGAATCATTGTCGTTAGTAATAATATTAATAACCTTATGTAAGGGTTATTAAATTATTGAAAATATTTTAAATAATTTTAAATATTTAATTTTATGTACTCAATAACATGTGTCAGTGGTTAATGCAACTAAAAGATGAGAAGCAAGATACATCCTGATTACAGAAGGCTAAATATCATCTTTATCGTAATTTCTACTGTATAGGATTATTTTATTTGAAAAAGAAAGAAAAATGATATTTTGATTTAACTACGATATTGCTTTATTATTATTTAGGGTACTGGAATATGTATCTGAATATTATGTGTTTATAAACCACAGAATATCGGGTAACGTAATATAATACAGGTAATACATCATTAGGGTAATGGATTCTGATTAGAACGTAGTGCATTGCATGCATATAATTTAATGGAAATTTATATTGTTATCGATGATTATATTATTATTTTATATTATCATTCATTATATTATATTCATATATTTAAGACAAAATATCACGCTAAGAATTACAATGATCATATTTGCCAAATATTTGTTACGTCTGGAATTCTCTCAGTATCGTAACAATGAAATGTTTTGTTATTATGTTGTTGTAAATGTTTATTATTTATAAGAAAAAATTGAAAGATGAAAAATTGAAAATTAAGAGTATAGAGTCGAAATACACTAATCGCAATATCATCTATCGCACAATTAAACAACTTTAGAATCTGATAATATTTCCAATATCAATTTAATGACTAAAATGGAATAAACACTTTACACTAAGCGTAGTAAAATTCCAATTGAAGTTTCTATATAGGATATTCCCAAACAATAGCCATAATTACAAAGAGAATTAGAAAGTGTCAATATTATAACTTTTTCGATTAAAATATCAGAATTTCTAATCATATTAGTTTTTTCTACCACGTCAAACGCATTACAACAACGTGTCAACAGCACGATACTCGCCCGCCACTAGCACAAACGCAGTTGCGATTACGAAAGAAATAAAAAAGAAATTTGATTATTTATATTCCTCCGATCATTCGATCCATCCATCAGAATCCGAAATTAGACTACTTTCTCCCATTAACAATAAGCCAACGGAGAACGACAGCCACCCACCGCGAAGTCAGCGAAAACTTCTTACAACTTCTGTAACTTTCCCATCTGCTAAATTTAAACAAAAGTGATAAAGCATTGCCTCACTGAAATATCCCATCCGAGCTATTTTCATCCTATTCCAATCGAACCGCACGCGATAATATATCGGCTATCATGTATCGAAAGGGTTGCTACGAGCTGAAAATAAATCTCGCGGAGCAAGTTATAAGGAGATCAATCGCGAGAGAAAATGATAGGCGGGAAGACTCGACTCGCGACAAAAGGTAGAATAAAAAGAGACAGACAGAAAGGGAGAGGGAAAGTAAAATAAAGTAGAAATCGTTGTAAACTTACCCTTGTGTGTTGTCGCGTGGTAAGCTCGCGCAGGTGTGGGTGGTCCAGGGGTGGTGGGAGTGGCAGCGACGTAACTGCCCCCGCCACCCCCTGGGAATAACGAGTATAGCCCGTAACGACTCACACCTGTAACACCATTCAGACGGAGAATTTATTTTTTAGAGCGTGGATCGTGGTCGTTGCACGACAACCGTGCATCTCGATTCGATAAGCGGAAGAGAATTACTTTTAACGGTTTAGCTACATCGTTGTAAATAGTCGAGTTTCTCCATTGATAATTGTCGCTTTAGGAAGAGTTGTGAATTTTATCAATCTTATTCAGAGGTTAAGCAAAATTTGATGGATTGCACGGATGAGTGGAATAAAGAAGGAATACAATGTAGAGGTAGCGGAACATTCTTAATTGGAAATAGGGATGGTTTAAGGAAGTTGCAATTCAACTAGGATCTGACATATTGGGAAATTTGAACGTGTAAAAATATTCGTAATTCATTTTAACATTCGTGCTCGTATTAAGAGCAGTCGCTTTCCGATAGAGGCAGTTTTATAAGAAATCGTAAGTCGTAAGGCGCTAATCTTAATATGTAGTAGTAACAATCGTAATAATATATTGTAACTTGTACATTATAAATTGCAAATTGTTTATTATAAATAGTTTATATAGTTAGTTATAGTTGTAATGGTTTATTATAAATAGTAGTAGGAAGTTGTAGGCTGTAAGTTGTATAATTATAATAAGTTGTGACATATATATATATGTATATGTGTGTGTAATTTATAATACCAAAATACATAGTAACAAAATATATGTAAATGCCTTATCGTAAGTTGTAAAGTTCTAAAAAGTACATATCATCAACGTTACTCATAACGTTATATTTATATATTTTTATTTCATATTTGTATACAATGTCCATAACGAAAATTTCTATAAATAAAATTGTTATATTGCGTTTTATTAACAAGTGATTGTATTAACACATTGTTGATAGATCACGAGTAAAATCATGCATTCATGCGCAAGCGTTGTTGCCGGTGGCACATATTAATTTCTGCATAAAATAGCTGGTGATAGGACTAAAAATAAAATAAAAAATTTTTTGCATACAATAACCGGTAACACGTCACAAAATAAAATAAAACTTTTGCATAGAATAGTCGACGATACGCGTTAAACTAAAATTTTTTGCACAGAATAATATCCAATCAACAATATGTTAATACCAAGCAGACTACTAATAATAATCATTGATATCTAATTTTCGTGGCAAAATGAAAAAGTATAATCGGTCTTCATTTCTTCTGCCTTAAACAAATAAAATTTTATTCACGGAAGAGTTAAACAAACTCGTAAAACAAATTCTCTGTGTATTGTGCAGAATGCTTTAATTTTGCTACGGTTTTCAATCATCCAACGAACAATCAAATTATAGGTAAACAAATAAATTAGTTCAACAGAAGGATCCAAAAGATTTAACAGAAAATATATGAATCGTTCAGGAGCAATATTGATCGACTCCATAAATTGAAATGTAGAGGAAACTGATGATATTACGAACATAATTTTTTTAATTTACCTTAGTATTTATTGTTATTTGTGCTATTCTCGCACAATAAATGAATTTATAGAAATAAGACATTTGCTTCCTAAAAATTGAGGATTAACCATATACACTCCTGTAACGCAATCGGGAAATTGATAAACACATGTATTACTCGGAGTAAAAATTAAATAATAAAAAATGTTGTAATAAAAAAATACAATCATTAAATTAAAATATAGATAGAGCTCGTCATAATAAATGTTAGAATATAAAATTATTGAAAAAAAAAATTCCACATTGCCGAAACCCGGGATTGAACCGGGGACATTTAGATCTTCAGTCTAACGCTCTCCCAACTGAGCTATTTCGGCTCTTGGGAATCTTGCCTTCTAGACTCAACTTATTCCGACTTGCTCGTAAAATTACGTAACTACAAGAAAAAAAAACCACTTGCCGAAACCCGGGATTGAACCGGGGACATTTAGATCTTCAGTCTAACGCTCTCCCAACTGAGCTATTTCGGCTCGTACCAACCACTGCGATGCAGTTATAACTGGAGATTCGATTATGAAATTAAGAAAATCGGGTTAAAGGAGAAAGGATAAAATTTTGTTTACTTTAAATAAATATTACATTTTGAAGGTGCTAATCTTTTTTCTGCAATGTGTAATAAAAATGTATCAGGCAAGTCAATATGAAATTGCAGTTAATCTTTAATTAATGATTCGTTGTAAATTTTCGGATTGGAAAATAACTCGAATATCGTGATATTTTAAACGGAAATGATTTAAATACGATTTGCAAATGTTATTTACGGGAAATTATTTTTTTTTCTTCCTTCTTTAATTTTTCATTCGCAAAAACATGAATTATGTAATAATACGTACACGAATGAATTGCACATTGCCAGTATGAAAATGTAATAATAAGTTTTATAGATTAAAAACTTTACGATACATCGAATCAGACATTTTGTGTTATTATCGAATTTGGGATTATAATTTGTACTTTGTGTAGCAAGCTTTCCGTGATTTGCCGCGATGCTGGTGCTCGAAATTTATTTATTACATTAATATTTCAGGCTTTTTAAATTCGGCAAATATATATTTTGCAATATAATGACAATTTCTATAATCCAATAATTTCAATCATTTACGAGGATAATCTTTAACATTACCTGCAATTTCGTAATATTATATAAAATTACATTACAGTTTAAGTATGAATGACAAACCATATCGGAATAAATAATTCTAATTATGACTTATAATTATTTCCGATTTTTGTTGAGTAAGTAATCTAATATTCTAGCTACGTTGGTTGATTGTTAAAAGTATTTCTCTCGATGATAAGATCGACATTCGTAAATACATATATACTTGACGATAAACTTAATAAGAAATCTACTTTTTAGCTGGAAATCTACTTTTTAACTGGAAAACAGTCATTTATCACCGCTTGTTTGTCAATTAATACGCTAAGCCGTTTATTAAAATACTGATATTTATATCACACTGGGCAATAATAAGATAATGAAAACTAGATTTAACAGTTGCTTCAAAATCAATTTAATTTATAAGAAGGAAGACGCACCTTACAGATAAGATTCTGTACTATCGAGAAAGAGCTGTATTTGCGTATATATGTATTTACGTGGAGGTATGATAGATATTGCCACGCCTTATTAAATAAATTTTATAGATACTTTATTCTTTTTGTTAGAAAATATCTTATTTTTTCATATCGATTCTTTTTTCATTTTTGGAAATCTCAGAACAAATGATTCACAAGCAGATATTAAAAATTCAATTAAAAAAGCAGAACATTTAATTTCTATAATATCAAATTATTAATATTAAATATTAAATCAAATAAAGATATTTTATAACAGAGAATATTACATCATTCGTATCAAATATTAAATTAAATAAATATATTGCATACTTTATGATTAAATACTACAAAATAAATATTTTTCCATCTAAAGTTACAATATTTTTATTACTTAGAAGTAATTAATTTGCATAAAGGAAATAAGGACGATTTAACTTTATAGGAACATTGCAAATCGAGATATTGCCAGAAGAATTCGTGTAACAAACAGAAGAATTTCTTTTTCTCGAGAAATTTTATATATTATCTCATTCTACAGTTTGAAATTTTACTTCCGTATGAGACGCTTCTTTTACAGTCTAAACAGTCTTATTACGTTCAAACGTATATGAATTTCAAGGGTGGAAAGTATTACTTATAAAACTTTATAAAACTACTCGCAAAATTTTCAATTATATCATTTGATCTACCTACCTTATATTGCGGTATATTTTACTCATAAAAATGTTTATTCTAAAATATCCTCGTCGTTATCGTATTATACAATATTCATGACATAATCTTTTTTCTTAAATCTGAATTTTCTTTTCTTTGATAAATGATTCGTCAACAAAAAATTTCAGATCATTAACGTCCATCAAACCCAAACTGATTATCGTTCTATAAAGTGGCATATATTTCAAAGTGTTTCCCAATCGTTTGGATAAAAAAGTAAAAAATAATTGTTTAATGATTAATACAAAGTAAATGGCGTACCTTGGTTGTGAGTCGGCGCGGGAGTGGCGGCCAGGGGTGGAATAGCCTGAGACTGCTGGTTCGGAACCTGATTGGACTGTGCAGGTGCTAAGGGCCATAGGGTTGCTGCCGCGGCAGGGCCGGACGTCTGTTGGGCCCGGGCACCCGTGTCGCCCACGGGACGATCCCCAGTCCCACTTTGGGCCACGGGAGGGACCAACATCGAACCTCCCCCTCCCGAGGCTGAAAAATAACACGAACAGAATTTGGGGATTAAAATATTTGTAAACTGTCACATTACATTCGATGAATGTTTTACAAAAAATTTAAGGATTGCGATATTACCAAAATTATAAAAATTATAGCTTCTTAGGATTACATTGGTGTTCTAAAGTTATAAGAAAAGATGGCTTATATTTAGAACGTGATTAGATATTTCTTGTAAAATTATATTCATAGAAAATATGAGGAACATTGGAAGCAAGAGATTCGAATGGATAGAAATTTGAAAGTAGGCAAAATTTTCTTGTGAAATTTTTTAAGAAATTTCTACTAAGGTATAGAGCAGAATTATTATAATAATCTTCGCCCAATTCTTCCTTTGTGAATATTTTTAAGTGGTGCCAAAGTTAGTGCAACGATACATTTTAAAGAAAATTTTCTTTATGGTTTTATGGAAAGTTTTATGGAAAGCTATGGTACATCGACAAAACCGTTTTGAACTCATTAAAAGTTAGAATTAGATTGCAATTAGAAGGTAGATTCCAAGTGCTAAAAAATAACGATCGCAATGCTAATCATCTTCATTGCGACTTTTTATATAACCTTTAATACCCTTTTTAATTAATTAACGTAATAGTTGACACCGACTTTTCATTCAACTTTCCGTTGTTACTTATTTTACATTTACTGAAAATTGCAATGAGTTGAATGGAAAATTCACCATAGACAATATGTGACATACAGACTATGCGAACGTTTTAATAACGAACGATGTGACGTTTCGCTTCGTTCATCATTTTCCTAGTCGGTGAATCGAAAGGTATAGGGAAAAGCAGACGCCAGTATCTGGCTATCGGAATCAACTTTTCATCGTTAATCTCTCTGCACACTTGTGCCTATAGATCGTGGTATCAAGGGATACCAATAGGAACACATGCAGTAAAGGGAAATTTGGCAGCCACGTTTAGTAGAACAAAATAGGAACGAGGAAAAGCTAACAGCGAGACGAACGTGAAGAACGAAATATGAAAATACATATCTTTCGTCAGTTGCAGAAGAAAAGAAACTACGCAGAAATAAGAGGTTAATGTGACATTAAAATGAAATTCAAAGGAAAAGTGGATGGATTAAAATAGAAATAATTGCTTCAATAGAGGTACCTATGAAATTAATCCACAACAGAGTTCCTTATATTCCCTACAGACAATACTCTAGAAAATGATGGAAATTGAAAAATAAGAAAAGAAAAATTGCATATATATACTACTAGGAATACTAATTAAAATATTTGAATAGTATCGTTTAAGTAATTTCGTACATTCAATAGTCAACTAGTGCCCATTAATGCAGATATATTTCATACACGACATATGTAAAAATCTTCGAAGAAATGAGAAGCTAATTAAGAAACTATATGGTTCATCAAAAAAAGGTAGAATCTTTTGTCTTCCATTTTACTGATAATTCAAAAATTACAATTCACATACTTCCACAGAAATATACATAAAGCAGGCTACACGGTCAAGGAAAATCATGTATCTATCGAAAAAATTAAGGATAACACAGTGGAAAAAATAACTACTCGAAACGCGACATAATCTTCAAAAATTTTATTAGTTAAAAAATTAAAGAACAAATAATAATCACAGCTTCAACTTTGTTAACGTTCCGATACATAATTTTTTAATAAATTAACGAATAAGCAATCGTTTCTTCAAATTTCTATATTCCTTAAAGTGAAAGAAAATTCTCTTGCTTTTTAAATATGTATGCAAATATTCTAAAAATGACGATGGATAAAAGATCACCGAAAAAGAACATCCGAGCTCAACCAAAAATTAGCGAAATTAAAAACTCAAGCTCTCTTCTCTTTCGCCACCCTTCATTTCTACGGAACAGGAAACGGAACAGGAAGAAGAATGAAAGGCAAGGGCCAGAAAGCCGCGTGAACACATCGTGGATGGCGTAGCATCGTAGGCGCCTGGACCAATGTAACCTCGTGCAAAAAAAGCAAGAAAAAAGAGGGGACAGACAGAGGTCGAGATAGAATATAGAACATTCTCAATGAGCTGAACGAAGCGAGAGCTTCGCCATTTTCTAGCAGAGGGTGATTCACCGAAGGGATGGCCATGGAGGGTTGAGAAGCGGTGGAAACGGAGGAGGGGTAGCAACAGGTCGGCAAGCATAATGTACTCTCTTAGGTACACACGCACGCACGCACACACATCACCATAGTTCCATTTGATACACAAATCTCTAAGTATGAGTTGACGTCTTTTTCTTGCGCGCTAAAATACAGGGGTTGCGGAAACGACGTACTCGGAGAAATCTTTTTACCGAAGAAATTTGTTAACGACAGGATTTTAATGACGAGAGAAGTTATACGAGAAACCATAAAATATACGTTGCGTCGAAAAATTGTCATTTTTCGAGTAACAAAAAACGGTGGATAATTTGCAGTTGATTGTATCGTAAATTCTGGAAAATGTCAAATTACATGGTTTGTGTATGTACATCGAATACTTTTTGTGGATGACTGGAAGCTGTAACAAGTTCTGAAGAATAATCGAGTGTTTCAGAGATATGTATGTAAACAAACACAGAAATACGATTGTGATATGTATCATAATGGCACAATTGAAGGACTTTGGATGCTTGCATACATGGAACTTATTTCTTCTCTTTAATTCTTGGTCGTTTCTTTCTGGATAATTTCTTAATTTTATGAAGTTTTTACGTATAACATTTTTTTAATATAACGTACTTTATTTCGCCAGGTACTAAATCGAAATTAAACAAAATTAAATAAATTATTTTAATTCATTTAGGTTATTCTTTAGGCTAATTAATATACAACAAATATTAATATAATTACTATTTCTTCATAATACAATTCAATATAATTTTAATACAATTTGATTTTGTCAGGGATTTACAGCGATCTGAAGTTTTCATGACTACCTTTCAGTGAAGCATTTTCTTAACAGATCTTACTGTTATCACAGTATTCATTTTTTATAGTCGTATGACGGTACATGCTACCAATCGACACGAAATTGAATATACTTGAAGCTATTTAATCAGTATATGAATCCTATAATAAATACAATCGCGTACGAACACCTTATGTAGTCACCACATATCAATTTGATAATATCTGACAAACGTGTAAGAAGAATATTAATTAAAATTCACGTTTAACAATCCTTCATTTCCCCATATCCTTTCCCAAATTTTCTCCGATTTTTTATCCCTTTCGCAGAAAATCTTTCCGTATCACCAAATATATTCATTTTTAAAACCCGTAAGAGAAAGAAGCGATGGAAGTGAACCTGAAAGTGAATCACTCTTAGAACACCTTGCGGGTTTCACGCCAGTAACGTCGTTGGAATTATTCAGAACCGCGGGATAAATCAGGATACTTGCGGAACAGGATAATGAGCCCGGTGCGACGACCTGAAATTCACGCGAACTTCCAGCTGGAGAAAACGGCGGATGTCGCGTGTCCAAAAAAGCTGCACGTGCGAATACGATATCCCTTTTGCTTTTGCTATGTGGAAATACGCCTTAGTTGCTCTCGTTAAACTCACGCGATAATAACCGTCAATAAACTGTCAATCGGTCGGGTGTATGTTTGTGGAGATGTAAGTACGCGGCGATTAACGTCGCTACCGATCGTGTCCGTGAATTATAATGATTAAGTGGCCAATGTGCGACTCGATGTTCCCAACTACCGATTCAGAATGCGTAAATAACAAGTTTTGATTCGGGCTAATAATTTACACGTAGAAAATTGAGACGTTGCTTCTTTTTTTTACTGTGTATCGCGTGGGAATTTTAGGGAGTTGATCGAATTTTGAAGGGACGTAAAAAGTGAGACGCAGATTATGATGTTCGCGTGTGGGAAATACTGTGTTAAATACAAATATTATGAGACAGTAAGTAGTGAACAGAGTGTGACTATTAAACTGTGGACATTTATGGAAGATTTAAAGATACAAAAATGAATGTGTTATACATACATGTACAATACATAGCGTGTAAGAATGTGGCAAGTATCAGAAGGTAATGTATTTACTGTAATATTTAGAGGATTTAGCTTTTCTAAGCGTGTTCTGGAAAATGTAAATTTGCATAAATATCTGAGCGCTTTTACACGACCGAGCTAACATTATCAGCAAAATTTTCCATATCACAAGCAAATTTGACAATTTATAAGTTATAAGTCATGTTTGGTGAAAAATTTTACATTTTTAATATTTAATTTAGATGATCATACGATGATAAGCTAATTACATTAGCTAGTTGCTTTTCCTTTCCAAGAATAAAATTTATACTTTAAGAATATATTAATAGCCAGTTAACTTCAGCCAGTTCAGCTACTTTAGCGAATAAACGGAGAGAAGTCGAGAATGAGTCTGTAATTTTCAAAATGTTGGGAACTAAAGTTTCTTGAAAGTTACGAAAAGAATTCAACCTCTGTAACTCCGCTGCATCTTTTCTTACAACTTTTCTTTAACTCTGTTAGTCTCCTGGTCTCAATAGACTCGAGTATACATTGCAGTGTCAAAGTTTCCTTGCATTTGTTCTTTACTTTATTACACTCTGTAAACGATTTGCATGAAACCGTGTTATATAAGCATGAAAGTTATCGTTAAACTTTGATTTTTGAACGTTTAAGCCTGGAGGAAAATCGAATTCAAAGAAATAAATGCTGAAACGTAATTACAAAAATTGCCCATCTGGGACTCGAAGTAGCGATGTGTAGCTAATATGACAGGATGTATACTCATATATCTACATCGTGCACGCAGTTCAGTTAATTTAATTAATAAAAGATAGTACTATTAAATACTACTACACTTTGTCTGCGAAAAAGGATTTTAAAGCCAGAAATTTTATAATGGATGAGGCGGGTCGTATGTCCTCTTAACATTTACGAATTACTTTTTTCTCATACTTCAACCTTTTTTATACTGTAGCGTGTTATTTTATAGAGAGATATGTTAATGTATTTTTAA